ACAGAAAACCAGAACACTAAAACTCTAACAAAACCCACACAAATAACCTAAACTAAGAATAATCCTATGACCTATAAGGCAAAGCTAGAATATAATGAAATAAACAAAATCAAAGAACCAAAAACACAAAACACTGGGTCGACGACCCTGGCAGCCTAACACTTGTACCCAGAATGGTGCACACAGGCTACAGAACTAACACACTGTTTTCATCATTAACACACTACCACTGAAAATTTAAAACACATGTTGCAACCTCTTCTTCTGCTTTTTGCTAGACTGAATACAGCTTCATCCATGAAGATGTATTCATGAGGCCTAACCATTGAGTCAAGCTCAAAGATTCTCTTTACACAACAAACTAGTTTTAGTTCTGTAAATGAAATAGTATAATGTATACATGTGCTATGTATACAAGTATACTTATGGTATTTTGGTATTTTGTGTAGAATTGAAGGAAGGCCACATGAGGGTGCTCACAACACCAGGAGACACTTATTGTGGATATGGTCCATCAGAATAATGCAATTTGACTGTGTGAAATGCAGCAAGAGAATGTAAAAGACAACATACATGTTGAATCTAGCAAAAAGGAGAAGAAAAGGTCGCAATGTCGTAGGTCAACGTGCCATTATTGAACTGCCTGGCCAGCGTGGTGGAACTGTAACTACGGTATCTGTGCTGCCATCAGCAGCTATGGGGTTCTCCACAGTCATGTTACTGTTGGGCTGTACAACAATGAACTTATAGTAACATTCCCAGATGGTCTACGGGATGCTTTGCTTGATTAGAGAGATCGCGAGCAGGCAGAGCATCCCATATCATTTGGGCCAATGTGAGCTTTCACCGAAGTCCAAGAATATGCAATTGGTTTCACAATGAACAGCATTTTATCAATGCGTTTCTTCCACCGCAATCTCCCTTTTTGAACCCTATTGAGGAGTTTTTCTCAGCATGGAGATTGAAAGTATAAGACCGAAACCCTTACAGGAAAATCTACTTCAAGCATTGAATGGAGCTTGTGGTGAGATAGCAGTGGAATCTTGCCAGAGCTGGATTCGGCATGCTAAACGATTCTTTCCTCGCTGCCTTGCAAGAGAGCCCATAGAATGTAATGTGGATGAAGTCCTGTGGCCTGACCCAGCACAGAGGCGTGATGCTGAGTCTTTAATTAGTAGGGCACTACTGCTGAAAAGCAGTTAAACAGCATCTTCAATGTTATTAGAAAAGAGCTGTTATCCAGTAGTTTAAGATAAAAAAAAATTGCTTTATTTATTAATTTTAGGGTTTGTTTCATTTTTTGCGCTACATTAGAAAACATCAAAATAGCATTGTCATTTTTGTTATTTGTGTTTTGTAATCTTTATAAAAGCCTAGAAAAAACACCTTTTAATCTTTTGTATATGGCGAGATGCTGTGGGCACCTAAGTCTTTGATAGTGTAGAATTTTCAAGTCAATACCATGGTTGCATCTACTGAAAATCTCAGTGACCTTGACTTCAAGCTCAGAGGTCAACCTTTCTGAAAATCAGAGGAGTTTTACATTTACAACACAGGTATGTCTACTAGGAGGCTGAAGGGTAGCACTATATATTTATAAACAATCAAAAACAACAAATATAACACAATTTATTTCCAATTTGTATGGAATTTATTTCTGTAAACATGGTGTTTTAGGTCTGATTGAAGGACTGATGTGATGGTAAGGTGTCCGCTGCTGCGCTTTGAAGATTGGTAGGCTTTCTTTTTTTTTAATTTTCACAAGAATTGCTACTTCCCCTAGAGTTTTGGCCACTCCAACAATCAGAAGATTTCCCTATGAGCAAGCATTTAGCGACAGTGGGAAGGAAAAACTCCCTTTAAAAAGGAAGAAACCTTCAACAGAGCCAGGCTCAGGAAGGGACAGCCCTCTGCCACGACTGGTTGGGGTGGGGGGAGTGAAAATTTTAAAAAAAGAAGCCAAAGTGATCATTATTGAAGCAGCTTAATTAATTTTTGCAGTATAATTTGCTGTTAATGTCATTTTCCAACCCCAGTTTGTTTTTATCACTTTTGTCCAGGGTGGAAGATGCCATGCTGGAGACTGATTCAGTATGGTCTTTCAATGTTGATACATGGGAACCTGTTAGAGAGGCCAGGGCTGCAAAAGGGATGCCGGAGAACCTGAGAGGGTGTTATCCGCTGGTGTGCATCCAAGGCCAACATCTCTTTAATTAGGCTGACAAATAAGCGTTGGCCAGCTTCTGGTCCTCGTCTAAACATCATTATTTGTTCGAGGTCATCCAGACGTGTAAGTATTATGTATCTTGTCTCCAGGGATTCATGTCCTGTCCCTGGAACAGAGCCTTTAAATTGTTCTTCCGTCTTAAATGTCCAGCGCTGTTGTGTGTATTTGTCTCCAATGAAATAGTTTTCAGTGTACACTCCAGAGTCTAGCACATGATCTGGTGGCTGACCCTGAGTCTCTATGATGAATTTCAGATAATCATAGTCATTCTCCGAAGGGTAGAGTGGCACCCCTGTAGCAAGCTCCACAGCTACCAGCCCCAGAGACCACATGTCACTTGCTTCGTTATAAGGAAGGCCAAGCATAACCTCCGGTGCACAATAACCAACCGTTCCCACACAGTCACCAGGTATCACTGCAGACGCAGGACATGCGAGGCCAAAGTCTATAAGTTTGACTTTGATGGGAGACTCATGGCGG